AAGGTACGCTTCAGATGACGACCGCAAGTCGTGCATCTCCAAAGGTACATTTTGGCTTTACAATATATGATCAGAAACTCCTTCCTCATTGAGAATCTAGTTCGGCCATAGTAGCCGAGAGTATCCACAAGGTACCTCCGGTTACTTATGCTGACAGCTGCTCGTTGATCCATTATGATAACGACGTGAGTCCAGGATTCCACTACCATGACGCCGAAGGTATTGGTTCGAATATACATGATACTACTGGGTCAGCACATTCACGAAGCAGCCAATGCCTGGAGCCCACTAAACCTCAGGCAGGCTTCGACCAGGACCTGTCGACATTTGAGGACTTGGCTGATGCGCCAATGCCTGAAGGAACCACAAGGGAAGCTTCAGAAGCCGAACCAGCACACGATGACGGACGGCTCTCTACGATCTACGAGGAATAAGAAGCTGACCTTGAACCGCATGTTTTGGAGGCGTGGTACGCAGAACTGCAAGAGGAAAGAGAACTGTTGGAGGCAACTCCACAGGAGGACGTGTTTACCGTACCCTCACATTGTTCCTGATCAGCGTAGCTGATGAACAGCGGGGACACTTGCCGAAGTGGGGACGCACTCGCGACTCTGATACTGACGAGGCGTACGACGCCCCATATGCACCATGGTCGAAGACGACAGCTACGGACTCGACTTCGGCGGACGCGGTCGATATGTTGAACTGTGCTTTACGACGGAAATGTCGAAGGTAGTCTTGTCCGAAGAGCAACATATTTTACTAGATACCGACCGGGTGACCACTATGCGAGCATGCGTTACCGCCGTTGCAAAGCGAGCTGCGGTTGTCAAGGAAGACGACCTTCGCGCTAAAGCTGGCATTCAGGCTAATCCCGAGAAGTTATCAAATGCCCTCTTCGCTGAGCTCAAGACATGGTTCGATTGTAAATGTTTTAAGATACAAGAGATAGCCAAAGCGTCGAACATCCTGACTTTGAGATACGGGTGTAGCTGGAAATTCGTGAAGAACGAAAAGGGCGATATGGAACGTGCCATCCGACTACGCTTGGTACTCCAAGTCTTCATGGTTTTTCGATGCTTTCGACGTAGAAGCATGTTTGGGGACAGCCAGAAAGTCGAGCCAGGGGTTACTTGCTAGCACGGCAGCGCGCAAGAAGCAGTGGGTCATTGCTTGCCTGGACATCAACGCGGCCTTCCTAAAGGGATTGACCTATCAGGAACTTACTGAGGCAACTGGTGAAATGGAGCCCTTGGTGTGCTTTACTTCGCCGCCTGGATCGGCAAGGGCGCTCCGTGCTCTTCCAGGATTTGAGAACTACGACGAGTCAAAGCATTGTCTATAGTGCTTAAAACCGGGCACAGGCACTAAGGGCGCCCCACGGGCTGTCTCAGTTAATTTCAGGAGGACCATCAGAGGATTTGGCATCCGACCCACGTCTTGCGACGAGGTTCGAGACGAGCAGCAACTTGCTGACGGCCAAGCATGTTGCTGACATTAATATGGCCGTTACTGAGGACACGATTGACGAGTCTGTCACATGCGTTGAGGATACCTTCGGTAAGTGTAAACTCAACAAGCACACATACACTAACTGTGCTGTGAGATAAGCTAATGATGAGGGTGGCAACGTTACTCTGGATCAAGATGAATGTATGAAACAGCTCCGTCCTATACAGCATCCTGAATTGACCGGCGCTGACGCTGGCGCTCAAGCGACCAAGATGGCGGCAGACATGTTCGTCAGCCTCAGAGGTGCGCTGGCATGCGCCCTGATCACCCAGGTGCGTTTGATGGTGTATGTTGTATCTCTACAGCGTGTCTAAGAACCGACCAATATTCAAGTGCGACGACTGAACGCGATCACTAGAAATCTACAGGCCTGCCCGAATAAGATCGTATACCAGGCGATGAACTCCATGGGCGAGGTCGACTTACGTAGCGACCCAGGCTACCGACGCCTGAGTGGAAACGCCGATGACGACGTCAAAGGCCATGTCACTCGCGGGGCAAACCTGCTACGACGTGGAAACACGTCATCTGGCAAGCCTGTCGATCAGTTGATTGATGCGCGTTGCAAGTCTCGCCGCTTGCAAGGCCGCTCCAGCTACTCAGCAGAGACACTCGCAACAGCCCATAAATTGAGGACTCGTATCCCACGATGGCCTGAGCATCAAGGTCACTTTGACAATCGATGCTGAGTCGGTTTAAGTCCTTGTCAAGCAAAGACGTGAAGAAGCCGACTGAGCGTACCCATTTAGGACACACCAGTTGGATACGACAGATGATGGAGCGTGGAATTGTGCATAGCATTCAGTGGTGCGATACCCGCGACATGACTGCGGATGGACAAACCAAGGGGGGCATCGACAGAGAGACGCTCCTACAAGTCATGGGAGGTATGCATACCTTCAAACATGACCTGAAACGACATACTCCATATCGGGCCGGCCAGACAACAAGCTCTGAGGCCGCCTGATGAGTACGTTATATGTGCGAGGCAACTTGCTGGCGGGTCCACCTCCTTTAGGCCCGTCTCTTCTCCTGTCTTTGTACAGGTTAGCTGCTGATTTGTTTCTGCTACACGGGCGGCGGACGCACTTGAGATGGCATCTCCTCTCGCACTGGGACTATCGCTACTGCGATACAACAGAGCGAGAGTTGGGCTTCGCCTAAGGCGAAGCTGTTGGCTGGGCCTACCAGCCCCCTTCAAACCCGCTCGTGTCCTCGCCGTCGAAGTGGGGCCAGGTCCTGAAAACCTCGGTCGCTTGACCGAAACCCACAATATCTGCCAATCCCCCGCTGCTTCTGCCCTGGGAGATAGGCGCCCATTTTGCTTGGGCCCAAACGCCGGCGCTGCGGGTAAGCATGTTGGTCCCGTGAAACAGGGCAAAACGGGCTTTGACCCCCACAATTCGCAAATTCCAATGGTTTTTTACAATGTTTTTATGTATTCTCACGTTTTCCGGCCCCCGAGACGCCCAATGACAGCCCAAGACGACCCCAGGGAACCCACAGAACGTAAAGAACGGCCCAACACGCTCCCGCGCAGCCCGAGACACCCTTCCGACGGCTCTGCAGGCCTCCAGGGGCCTACAGAACCCCCAGGGGGGTCCAGAAGATCCCACGCCCCTGAGGGGCCCGGCGATCAAAACCCGCGGGGCACAAACAAAAAACAGCGCCGAACAGCGCCGAGGTACAGGAAAAAAAATGGAAATCCCACAGATTTTGTTTTTGGTTTTCAGGTTTGGACCCCCGTCTACTCTTGCACAACAGAGTTTAATTCAGACCACCCTCGCCTCCCCAAAAAAGAACCCAGGCAGCCTTTGAGGGCCCAAATCGTCGAATACCTAAACGAAGTTAATGATTTCTGCGTTTCCGCACTTCCCCTTCTATACGATTCCGAGGCTTGCGCAGGGCTTCCAATGGAGCCCCTGGACGCAAGAAACCACCAACATGATATTACATGAGTTAGCCTATCAAGCCTAGCTAGAACTTGAGCGCGCGGGAAGCGCGTGCGATGGTTCTAGTTTGTATTTGTGCATCTCCGAGATGGAGGTCGATCGCAAGCGCCGCGCGAACTGCCCAATCAGCATGTCCATCGGCAGTGGTGCAAGTATGAAGTCAGTACTTACGTCATGAAGCTCTGGATCCATACTACGGGGATCCGAGATCAGTGACAAGTTCCAGAAGCGCGAGCCTGTCTTCGGATGGCGCATGCGATGAAATCCAACGGTCAGGATGTACCTCAATGCGAAAGTGTTCCCAATGTCTCGTTCGAGTGTACATTCATATTCGGACGGCCCGATCGAGGACTCGGATCTGAATTTGTCTGAGCTCGGATCTATTTGCCCCGTGCTCGTACTCTACAGCGAGCGGATCCCGCATTGGCCCATCGAGCGTCGTGCGGCTGCCCGCTCCTGGAGCGGGCGGGGGTACCCCCTGCTGGCCGAACAATTCTGAGCCGAGGAGCTTCAGGATGGAGATGGGGGAGTCTGCGGGCGAGTCCGTGTCCGATCGCGGTGAGGGGGGTGACGATCCCTGGGGAGATCTCTCTTAGAAGGGCTCCCATAGGCATCTGTGCTCGTGCGGCTAGAGCGGCCACGGGTCACGGGTGACCAGGGGATGAAGTGAAGTCAATGGTATCTTGAATTGTTGCGATCAGGGTGGCTACGACCAGAAAAAAAAGTTGGTGATGCGCCGAGGCGTTGGCTGAGATTTCGGCCGGAATTAAATGGTAGGGGCTGTGGGCGTAATGCCCGATTCAGCCTCTCTTCCTCTTGCGCCTCGCTCTCACCTCCTCGCCCCGCTGCCGTCTCGGATCGCCAGGGCCCTTGAGCTGCGTGGCGCGCCGGCAGCGGGGGCGCGCGAACCCCCGTAAAAGGACAGAACGTGCTCTCTTTTCTTTTTCTTTTTTTTTGTTTTCTCTCTCTCTCTCTCCTTTTTAGCACGGGCCCCGCCATTTGCACATCGTGTATCTCTGTGTTCCATTCAGCGACTACAGTACATTCCACAACCTTCTCCTCCTGCCTCCTCCTCCTCCTTCCCCTCCATCACCACCACCTCCTCGTCGCTTGGGACTTGGCCCCCGCGCGCGGGCCTCGCCACGTCTTGAGCCTTGTGTCTCCTCTTCGTCGTCGTCGTCGTCGTTGCTGCAATGCGGGAGCCGCGGGACAAAATGATCCGTTCCCCCGTATTGACGGGACCCCGGCCCTTCAAGAAGGCCGCCGAGCAAGTTGTCAGTTACTCCCGTTTTTGGGGTAACTGACGATTGGTTCGGGGGGGGAACAGGCGGGGAGGATAGGGGGGAGGGGAAGAGGAGAAACGGGGGAGGACGGGGAAAAGGGGAGGGGGGGAGGAGTGCATGAGGACGGGGGGGGAGGGGGAGAGGGATGAGGACGAGGAGGGAAGAGGAGGCGGAGGAAGGGAGGAGGGGCAGGAGGAGGAAGGAAAAGGGGATCCCTTCGAATGACCTTCTGGCAACCCCGCCGCCCCCCGAGGCCCGCGCCGAGCTCGAGCTGCTGCCGGCCTTGCGGGCGATCGCGCCGCCGCAGGAACCGCCGGACGCCGCAGCCCCCGCCGAGCCGCGCCGGCGGGCCGCGCGCTTCCAGTTCAAACAGGGGCGAAACGTCCTGGCTTGCAGATAGCCCCACTAAAGATCGTTTTGAACATATTTTTGAAGTTGACACAAAATGTGATTCGAGGATTGACCTCCTCCTTCTCCCTCCCCCCCTGCCCCTCCTCCCCTGTTCCCCCTCGTCCTCCTCGTCCCCCTCGTCTCCCCCCCTCCTCCCCCTTCTTCCTCCTGCCCTCATCCGGCATATATTTCCCTTTTATCAAGAACTCTTCCCTGTCGAACCCCGAAACGTCGGTACCCCGACACCGTCGCGTCGTGTAAAAATCGCAGCGATATGTTTCCTCCATTTTCGGCTTGTGGGGGCCCTTACCGGGCTTCGGGGCCGTCGAAAAAAAACAATTCAGAACAAAACTACGACATCGGGGGTCTGGATACGGTGGTTTGGGCCTTTCCGCCTGAGGTTTCGCCACCCTTCATGATGCTTCAGTTTGGAATCAGCAACAGGTTCACTAATAGAGGCCAGGCCGTTTCAAACTGTGGCTCTCGCCCCTACGCCGCGCACGTTCGTTTCAAACGTTTGCACGAACTTCACGGACGGAGGGCGGGCCGTTTTCAACATGTTGTTCTCGCTACAGCGCCGCGCACATTCGACGGCGACGACGCAGACGCCGACGACGTCGACGACGACGACGACGACGACGACGACGACGACGACGACGGCGGCGGCGGCGGCGGCGGCGGCGGCGGCGGCGACGACGACGACGACGACGACGAGGGTGACGGCGGCGTCGGCGGCGTCGACGACGACGACACCCGCGCCCTCGCCCACGCCGACGCCCACGCCCACGCCCACGCCCACGACGACGCCGCCGCCGACGGCGATGCCGATGCCGACGCCGACGCCGACGCCGACGCCGACGCCGACGCCGACGACGACGCCGACGACGACGGCGACGACGACGGCGGCAACGACGACGACGCCGACGCCGACACCGACGCCGCCGACGCGGACGCGGACGCCGACGAAAGAGACGACGACGACGACGACGACGACGACGACGACGACGACGACGACGACGGCGGCGGCGGCGGCCGCGGCGACGACGACGACGTCGACGACGACGACGACGACGACGACGACGACGACGACGGCGACGGCGACGGCGGTGGCGGCGGCGGCGGCGGCGGCGGCGGCGACGACGACGACGACGACGGCGACGACGGCGACGACGGCGACGACGGCGGCGGCGGCGGCGACGACCACGCCCACGCCCACGCCCACGCCCACGCCCACGCCCACGCCGATGCCGACACAGCCGCCGACGCCGATGCCACGCCCACGCCCACGCCCATGCCGATGCCGACACAGCCGCCGACGCCGATGCCGACGCCGACGCCGACGACGACGCCGACGACGACGCCGACGACGTCGCCGGCGCCGATCACGCCGACGCCGACGCCGCCGCCGACATAGACGCCGCCGACGGCGACGACGAACCACCCCACACCCACAGGAGGGGTCGGGAGCACCGGCGCCCTCCACCACGCCATACCCACAGGGCCACGACCACAGGGTTGGAGGGGCGGGCGATCCCACTCGCGAGGCTTTCGCCAGGCTAATGTGCGCAATCATCCAGCAGGGGGGGATCGATCCCATATGCAGTGGGGGGGTTGCAACCCTGGATTATGTACCGCTGATTCCAGGTGGACGTTTCCCAATGTGCACCAGCCCCCCCCCGACCGTTGCCATTTACAAGTCCCTTGCTTGTGCACCGCCTGGTGCAAGACGGCTGACCTCACTTTGCCACCTTCCTCCTCCTTATCTAATGCCTGCATTCGTAACTTGCGCCCGCAAGCTTTTTGACTGTTGTGCGCTCAGCGTTTCGACCTGCCCCCGGTGATGAGGGCGGCTGGTGGCGAAAGTGGTAGTCGCGCCCCCCAGCCCGCCCCCAACGTGCGAGAACAGCGGGAAGCTTCATCCTACGTTCCACGACGACCCCAAATCGCGCGGCGCGCGAAGCGCCGCTGCGCCGTCGCGACCGACGCGGCCACCGCAGCCGAACCCCGCGTGCGGGCAGCCGCTCAAGACGCACCGGCGCCCCGAGGAAGATCGGAGCGGTCCGCGTCGGGCCCTGGGCGCCATTGAAAAGGGCGACTGCGATCGAGGCGCTGAAAGTAGGACCACTCTGGGCTCAGGAGGGGCTGTGGTTTTCGGAGCGGGGGCCTTCCTTCGAGCTGTGTCGGAGAGCTTCATGGTCCCAGGCTCTCCGCGGCCAAAAGAGCCCCTTGTGGCTTTCCTGAGGTAGCACGATGACTGCATCGGGCGGAGGGAGAAGCGGTTCCTTCCCCCTTTCTCCTTGCAGACGGCCGCGCATCGCAGGCTGCCGTGACATTCAGCGGCGCTGGATTTTTTTTCCGCTGAGCATGTTGAGGTCCAGTCGGAACGGCGACCCCAGGCAGGTGGTCCGCAGAGGGCGCAGAGGTGTCAAGCCGCACCTTGGGGGAAGGGGTCGGGTGGTCCAGCGGCCCACGTATCGAAGAGGCGGGGCGAGGGTCGTCTGGGGCGGGCGCCGCGTCCGCCGCGGCCGCCTCTCTCGATGATCGAGGGCTCATGCTTCAGAGCGCTTCTGGCCATCTGGGCCTCCAGTGGGGGCCCATGCCAAGAAACACTCTGCTTGCCTCCAGGGTGCCCTTGGTTTCTTGATTTCGATGGTTTTGCCGTCGAAGGCGTGACTTTCCCACACCAGAAATCAATGGGCGTCCTGGGGTCTCAGGGTGGGGTTTCTTGTGGAAGGTTTCTTGTGGTCGGGCTCCTGCTGTAGGGAGGCCTCGGGAAGGCCAGTGGGGCCTCCCAGGAGGTGAGCTTCAGACACCCCCCCCTTCATCGGCGCAGAAGAGGGCGGCGGGGCGAGACGAAGGGAGGGGAGGGCGGCCCTCTGGGAGGAGGAGGCAGGGCGGGGACCGGCCCCTCCCTGGATGGGGGAGGGGAGGACAGGGGGAAGGGCAGGGAAGGGCAGCCCCGAGGGCAAGAGACGCGCAAGTCCGAGCGACGATGCGGGGTGGCGCCCCTCAGAGGAAAGCGCGCCACCCTGGCAGGGACGAGGGACCCGCAGAGGCCGCGACGCGGCGCCACCCCCAGCAGAAATTGCGCTTCCTCTCAGAATGGGGGAAGGGGGGAGGGGGGCAGGAGGAGCAGGGCTGCAGGAGCTCGCTTCGACCGCCATGAGTGAGTGAGTGGGTAGCAGAAGAAGGAGGAGGAGGAGGAGGACGGATGACGGAGGATGGAGAAGACGATTGGTGGGGAGGTGGAGGGGGTGAAGCTCCTTACGTCAGTTTGGAGATCCACGTCAGGAGGTGAGCAGCCCGTGGAACACGAAAGGCTGGGCTCCAGGAGCGAGGGCGGCCAGGCCCTGTCCGCAGAGTCGGCCGCCGTTCCAGAGGGGGCGCCGCCAGAGCCTGCTCTGGAGCCCGAGAGATCAGGCGATCGCAAACATGGAGCACGGGGGCGTGGATTAGCGACGGGTCCCGTTTCCATGGGAAGTCGCGGATATCCGCTGCCAAACGAGGCGGCACCTGATTTGGGGGAGGGCACCTCCCCCGATCCATGGATTTGGCGACCGCGGCCAAATCCAGGGATCGCTAATCCATGGCTGCGCGCCTCCGAGAGCGAGCCGTTCTCCCTGTGGAGATATGGCCGGGGGACGACTTTTCGACTGTTGTTTGACCATCTTTTTGCATTTTCGCCCAAAGTCCACCTGTAGGAGAACATGCTCGACCTAAGGCTGGGGCAGGGATGAGGCGTTCCAGAGCGTTCCCGGGCGCTGTCAGAGCGTTCTGGAGCGCTCTGAGAAGGCTGCGGCGCCCGATGCACCCTCCATGAGCACCGCCGGATCTCAGAGATCCACGATCTGTCGGGAGCCTTGAGACGGGGGTCAGTGCAAACGGGGGTCAGTCAGAGCGCCAGATCTTGGAGGATCCTGCAGGGCCAGGGTCGCATTGATGCGGGCTTGGGTGCTCCCTTCCTCTCCCCCGCCCATCTGACCTGCTCGGGGCTGGGCCTGCCCTCCCTGTGCTGCGTGCGGGCGGGCGGAGGGGGGGCGAGGGACCTGCTGCACCAGACGGACACGGCGCCGCTCCCGACCGTGTAAAAATCTTACCCGCCTAACGTGAAGTCGGGCGTGTCCTTCTACAGGAGGAATATCAAAAAATAGTAAGGAATAGTCAGGGGACGAGTTTTCTTGCATGCTTATATAATTCTTGCATATTGTTGACTATTCCTGATTTTTCGTCCAAGCTCCCCCTGTAGGGGGACATGCCTCAGCTAAGCCTAACGGCGTTCTAGACCCCGTTCACGATCCCTATTGGCGGGCGAAGCGCCCGACACTTTGGGGCGCCTGCGTCACAACGACGGGAAAATAAGTGATATCGAAGGACCTCCGCTCGCACTCGTCGCGCCCGCCCCGCGGCCCGCCTCGCTGCGGGGGGGGGGGGGGGGGGGGGCGCCCTCCGCGGAGGGGGCGCCGCCGGAGTCCGTGCTGGAGGCCGAGAGGCGCTCGGGGGAGGCCCTCGCAGGCGCCATCGGCCGTCGGCCGCGCCCCGTCGTGGAGTCAGGGCGGGGGAGGGCGAGGGCGAGGGCGAGGCGGGCGAGGAGGGGCGAGGGGGGCGAGGAGAGCGCGGAGGGCGAGGCTGGCGAGGACGTGCGAGGAGGGGCGAGAAGGGGCGAGAAGGGCGAGGGCGAGGAGGAGGAGGGGGAGGAGGAAGGCCAAGGGGGAGCCCTCCCCCACGACCCAGGCAACCCAGACGACCCCTACCACTCCGACGACCCGACGACGCCCCCCCCCCACGACGAACCCCCTCGCCCTGCGAACCTGGCGACAGCCTCCCACTCCAGCACTCCCTTCTCCGCCGCCTGGTCGGTGTCGCCGCCGCAGTGTCCCTGGCCTCGTCGAGGGTGGTCTTCCTCTCACTGCCCCTGTTCCGGCCCGTCTGCTTGCGGTTGCTCCCCTCTCCCTCTTTCTCCGCGTCTCCCGTCCGTCGTCCTCCTTTTCCCCGCCTTCTCCTCTCTTGTTCCCTGCTTGCTGCCTTCCCTCTGTCTCTTCCGCCTCGCCCGCCCGCTTCGGCCCGCCGGCCCTGGCCTCCCGCCTGCGCGTTCTCCGTCGGCTGCTTGCTTCTGGTGCTCTCTGTTCCTCTCCGTCGCTGCGCAGCACAGACTGCCAGGAGCAGACGGTGCCGACGCACGGCACGGCACGGGGGTTTCTAAATATCGGAGGTTGGGGGGTGAGTCCGACGTGAAATGTAGACCCCCCCCTACTGGGAAATCGGTTTCGGTTTCGGGTTCGTGTCGTGCGTGCCGTGCGTGCGTGCGGGCGGGGCGAAGCTGCGTGGGTGGGCGAGAGGAAATCCTCCTGTGGCTGGGCCGCGGCCAGACCAAATGTAACTCCTCCGGCGGCTGGTGCCGCGCGGTGTCCCGCCGGTGTCCCGCGGGTGTTCCGAAATCCTCCTGTGGCTGGGCCGCTGCCGGGCCAGATTTTTCTCCGGCGACCGGTGCCGCGCGGTGTCCCGCCGGTGTCCCGCTGGTGTCCCGTGGTGTCCCGTGGTGTCCCGTTGAGTGAGATCGATCCTGAGATCGATACTGAGATTGATGTGGTGCCTCGAGGTGTCCCGTGGTGTCCCAAAAAGTGAGATCGATAGTGAGATCGACAGGTGTTCCGTGGTGTCCCGTGGTGTCCCGTTGAGTGAGATCGATACTGATCGATGTGGTGATCCATAGTGAGATCGATCGATCGACAGGTGTCCCGCGGTGTCCCGCGGTGTCCCTCGGTGTCCCGTTGAGTAAGATCGATAGTGAGATCGATGTGGTGTCCCGAGGTGTTCCGAGTTGTCCTATGGTGTCCCGTTGAGTGAGATCGATAGTGGGATCATTAGTGAGACCGATAGTGAGATCGAGAGGTGTCCCGCGGTGTCCTGTGGTGTCCCGTGGTGGCCCGTGGTGGCCCGTGGTGTCCCGTTGAGTGAGATCGATAGTGAGACCGATAGTGAGATCGAGAGGTGTCCCGCGGTGTCTCGTGGTGTCCCGTGGTTTCCCGTTCTGGCCCGTGGAGTCCCGTTGAGTGAGATCGATAGTGAGATCGATTGAGTCAGATGTTGGTCCCCCCCCTCTCCCCCCCCCCCACAACCTCCTTATCACCTGAAGGGTGGTCGTGTAGGTAATTAGACTGCGTTTGTTCGGGCTGCAGGGCCGATGAGGCATGAGGCTAGTCAGTGATGAGCGGCACGCAGCTCGCATAAGGTTGGCGGGTGGTGGGGGGAGGAGGAGGAGGAGGAGGAGGAGGAGGAGGAGGAGGGGAGATGGAGGTAGAAGGGAGGATGAGCAAAAGGTAGATGATGATGGTGATGATGATGATGTTGATGATGTTGTTGATGATGATGATGATGATGATGATGATGATGATGATGATGATGATGATGATGATGATGATGATGATGACGATGATGACGATGATGACGATGATGACGATGCTGATGCTGTTGCTGATGCTGTTGCTGATGCTGATGATGATGATGAGGAGGAGGAGAAGGAGGAGGATGAAGAGGAGGAGGAGGAGGAGGAGGAGGAGGAGGAGGTGGACCGCTGGCGGCCACGGCGGCGTCGCCCTCGTCGTAGTCTTCTTTGTCGTCGTCGTCCTCGTCAAGAGGGCGGCGCGGTCGCCCCGACAGGCCTGTCCGAGGTGTGCAGCGGGTTGTGCGGCCTTCTGGCAGAGCTGCAGGGCTGCTGGGACACCGCCGCGCACGCCCCGCCGCATGTGGCTGCCGGAATGGCCAGCCATCAGAGACTATGTTAGGGAGGGGGGGGGTTCAGACCAGAAGCGCCCAAAGCATCGATCGTAGAGCCTCCCCCTCCTCGTCCATCCTCCTCCGCCCTCCTCCTGCCTCGGTCATTCCCCGCTTCTCGTGTTTCCTGCTCCTCGTCTGTGGCCTCCTCCTCCTCCTCGTTCCCCGCCACCTCGTCCTTGCTCTCCCCCTCCTCCGCTTCATGCCCCTCGTCGACATCATCCCTCCTTTATCCTTTATCCTCACGGCGGCAGTGAATACCGCATTGCAGCTCCTTCCTCCTCTCCTCCCGCCTCGTCCGTCCTCCTGCCTACTGCGTGCTTCCTGCCTGCCTCATACGTCGCCTCCAACTGCCGACTGCAGAACCGCCGCCGCGTTCGTGAGCTCCTGAGGGCTCCAGTCGAGGGTGATGCTGCCAGGACTCAAATGAGACGTCGCCCGGTCAGCCTGGTGTCGACAACGCAACTGTCGCCGTTTTGGTGACGGCATGGATGGTTTGGCGGAGTGACTCCGCACGGGGACCCAAATGAGACCTCACCCTCCCTGGGTGTTGCGAAGTGCGCGAGCCGCTACCTCTTTCGTGAGTTCCTGTTGAGCTCCAGCGGAGTTTCGCCCCACGGGAGGCCCATGCCACCTTTTCGCCGCCAGGGGAAAATTGAGCCATCGCGCTCTCTCTCATCTTTCGCGGGGTCGGATGGGTGGGTGGACTCTATGCCGGTCATTGTAATGTCCGCACGATAGAACAGACGTCTTGTTCGCGACAAACCTAAAGCGAACCCCTTGCGGTCACCGAGCGCGCGCGGGTGACGCGCGTCACCTGCGCGGCGCGTGGGGACTCCGACATTGTCTACTTACAGCTACTGGCAGTGCGCGTGATCCTTGTAACACCAAAAAACTGCCCCCCTGTCTTCCTCCGCTTTTTCTTCCCCCTCCCCCTCCTCTTCCTGCTCCCCTTGTTTTTGTTGACTCCAGGGCCTTGAAGTCTTGGGGCTCACCTTAGCCATTTTGGCTCAAGCCGTTCTGGCTCAGGTGGTCTGAGCTTGCGACGGCAGTCTTCAGAGCGGCAGTCGCTGTCGCGTGCCTTTTTGGCTTGTGCAGTTTTGGGGTATCTCAAACCCCCCAGTCTTCTAAGCCCTCCGTAGCGAGGCATCCATGGATGGAGCGGTGGTCCAGGGGCCCAAGAGGCCTTTCTGGGGCTGCCAGCAGTGCGGGCTCACGTCGAACTGGGCTTGCCGCCTGCGCTGCCGCTGTGGCGCCAGCGCCCCCCAGGCGGTGCTCAAGCGGGCGCAGCAGGCTCCTGATGGTCGTGGCGCTGCTCGCGGCCTCGGTGGCCGTGCTCGCCCCCCTGCCGTGGGCTCGAAGCGTGAGCAGAGGCTGGAGAAGCAGGTCCAGGAGCTCACCAAGCGGGTGGAGCAGTTCGTCGCTGGAGGTGCCAAGGCCTCTGCCCAACAAGGTGGGGGGGGCGGTGGACCTGCGGCTGCGGCAAGAGATGATAAGGAGACGGAGGACCCCTTGCGCGCGGAGGCCGCTCAGCTGGAGTTGGCCGTCGCAGCGTGCAAGAGTGAGTCGGCATCGGCGGCCCTGGCGATCCTGGAGGAGAACATCCGAGGAGTCAGGGCGCAGATCGAAGCCCGCAAGCCTGACCTCACGCAGCACAACAATGTGGGGCACAGGCTCAACAGATGCAAGGCCTGTCCGGCCAAGGTGGAGTCGGAGGTCACCGACATCACCAAGAGGTTGGATGAGATGCAAAAGGAGAAGATGGAGTTGGTGCAGGAGCGTGACAACATTCAGAAGGAATGCGCTGAGCTCCAACGGCAGTTGGTTACTACTTTGCCACTCGGTGAGTCGCCTGCTGATGACACCTTCGGCGTCCCTCAGGAGCTGCTGGATGGCAATGCGGAGGTCAAGGCAATGGTGGACTCCGAGCCTTTCAAGGAGTTTGCCAAGCTGTTCCGCCTTCATGTCACATCGGGAGCCCAACGTCCTGAGACGCCTGTGGCGCCACCTGAGGGAGCGGCTGGTGCGCACGTGGACCAGCCAGTGCCAGCAGACGATGACGAGTTCGATGACATGTACGTTGATGAGCAGGCGGCGGATGACTCCTGGGAGAAGCACAAGGGAGACAAGAGGGCTATCCTGGAGGCGATCATGGGTGCCAAAGCGAAACGTCCCAAGACGTCGCAGCTTTGACGGCAATGATGGTGTCGCTTGTGACAAGCAATGGAGGAGATCGCTCATCGACGATGTGGGTATGCACTTGTTCGATTGCTGTTTTACGCGGCTCTGGCTCGTGCAGAATGATTATCGAGCGATGCAGGCTCTCTGGTTTCTTCTGCAGCGGCTTCGTGAGCAGCAGTCAGATGACCTGCGCATGGAGCAGAAGTCAGATGACTTGCCTCTGCCGCCAACGCCCGATGATGGTTTCCATGACCCCAGCGGAGTGTACTCGCGTGGGGTAGCGTGTGACCTTGTGCCTAGATGCACGGGTTTTAAGCTGACTAAGCATGGTGTAGGCTGTCCGCCACGAGCCGCCCCCCGCGTTGAAGGCATCGATACGGCCCATGTGTTTGAAAGCTATAATGGGAACAGCTGGGGCGCACTTAAAAGAGGGTAGCGTCGTCCAAGGCCCTGGTGTTGTGTGCTCAGGAAATTGGCTTCGTTGAAGAGCGACTAGGGGAGCGTGCGAGTTCTGCCAAGGCAATGGGGTGGAACCTTGTGTGCCCACCTGCCGTTGCATGTGCTCAGGGGCAGACGTCTGCTGGAGTTGCCATCTTCGCCAGAGTCACAGTTGGACTAAGGTGGCCAGACTTCTTACCTCGTGGCATTGCAGTAGCGCACAGGCTAGTGTTCGCCATGATCGATATCCCCAAGGGGCCTCCGTTGTTGGTTGGTAGTGCGTATCTCTACAGCGGTGAAGGTCTCAGTCAACGTAACATGCATATCGCGCGCATGGCATGTCAGATCATGGAGGGAGCGCACCTTGCACTGCTGGGGGCTGATAGGAACTTCAGCTCAGCATGTTTGGAGATGGCTGGTATGCCGCGACGCGCGGGGTTGCTGATTACGCAGCCCGAGTCCACCACGTGCGTGACACCGCAGGTTAATACCAAGATTGATTTGTTTCTCGCGTCCACGGCCTTCAGCAAGTTGGTGCAGGCCGTCAATGTTGACAGCTCATGGGCCAAGAGGCCCCACCGCCCTGCCCAACTGCATCTCAGGCCTGGGGCTGTCAAGTTGCGCCAGCTCGTGTGCACTAGCCACCAGGGGGGCCCCGCTGAGCTCCCTGCGGGACCAAGTAATCGTAGCGCCGATTGAACGGAGGCGCGTGGACAAGCTGAACACGCCAACCTCGTCGCCAGTGACCAAGCGGTGGGTACTGCTTGGGCTGCGCTGGACGTCGCTTGGCAAGTTTCTCGGGTGCCATGGAGCTGGAGCTTGAGAGTAAGTTAGATACCCCAGTGCGTAGGAGGGGCAAGGAAGGCCTCCCTTTGGTTGCCCAGTGGGCCTCGGTTATGGCGCCCCCTAAGAGGAAGGAGGAAGATGGGGTCCGTGTCTGGGTTGGTTGGGTCTGGCTGCAGCAGTATGCTAAGGACCTGCTTAACACCGGCCAGAGGCTTGCGGTTCAGATGAATACGTTAGTGGATCAGTTTGAGGCCCAAGCGGCGCGCAACATCGTTGATCTTGTTGCGCAACCTTTCGATGCCGAAGGCCTCTCGACTAGGCTTGATGCCACCGTCGCCAAGGCCCGTCAGGAGATGGCCGCGCGGCCGCGCTCCCTGCGCGGCCTAGCTGACTGGGTCGACCAGTTTGCCGAGCTTCTGGCGGGGTGGGAGGAGGACTTCACGGAGGCTCGTGAAGGCTTAGACGGCAAGGAAAAGAAAGGGCGGGATCAATGGCAGGTTGAAGCTTCGCAGGGGCCAGCCCGCAAGATGCGCCGCCTCACCCGTCTTAAGGTTAAATGGGAGCCCACGGTTACCGAGCAATCTCCTGGTGTTTTTACGTCGGACCCGCGTGTTTTGCTGGCCGAGGAGGCTGAGATTCTTGGGACCTGTTGGCATGCGTCCTCTTCCCCTCCTCCTGTCGAGGTGCCTGACAGGCGCTGCCTCGATCGCCTCAGCCCTGAGGCTATACGTTCCGCGGCCAAAAGCTTCTCGCCGCACACGGCTCAGTCCCTTGATGGGGTGCGCGTGCGGCATTTTGCTTTTCTCTGTGACGAAGGGTTCGACACCCTGGCCTGCCTGTTTCAAGCGTCTGAGAAGTTGGGATTGTTCCCTCGGGCTTTGTACTGGATGCTGTTTCCCCTGCTCGAGAAACCCAGGGGTGGTCTTCGTCCGATTTTGCTCTGTTCGGCCCCTGTGCGTTTGTGGGAGAAGTTAAGGCGCCCCCACCTCACCCCTTTCAACGACACTCGCCCCAGGAGGTACTGGGCCTTTGGTGCGGGGAAGTCGGCGGAAGCTTGTGCGTGGGGTCAGGCCATCAAGGCCGAAGCCCAGGTGGAAGGCGGTGGAGTCACGGCGGGGTTCTCTTGGGATGGCACCAAGTAGTATGAAAGTTTTGACCTCCAGAGACTCAAGGATCGTAGCCTGGCGGTCGGGCTTGAACCAGTTATCATCAAGATGATTTTCAATGTTTGGAGTGGCCCTAGGATCTTAAGGTTAGGTTTAGGCCACAGCCTTGCTGTGCAGTATGCTACCAGTGGGCTACCTGCTGGATCGCGCGTCAACGATATTTTTGTGCGGGTGTATGCCATGCAGCCTTTCGATGGCTTCGTGAGTCGTAACCCGTGTGTGGATTTGTCCTCATACATTGACGACGGCACAGCCAGCTGTTGTGGCACGAAGGAGGCTGTCATCGAGTCGCTGGTTTCGGCGGCGGCGGACCTTCGCAGTGTGTTCACCCAGGAGCTCGGGGTGAATATAGCCCCAGATAAGTTGATGACGTT